ATTTTAATCTATGATGTTTTCTAAACAGTACAGTATGACATGTTGTCAAAATGGAATCTTCTATCTATAGTGTACAAAAAGTATTGAAATGATAGATGTATTTAAATGTCAATAAATACAGAATTATTCAATTGTCAACTTTGTTTTTTCATTTAATTCCTTGTTCACTATTACTACAAATCACTGCCCTTGGTCTAAACAAGAAATTAGTTTCAAAGGCAGAGCTAAGCTAAGAATCTCAAAGCAATGTTACTTACAAGAGTGGTTTGTTATCTTCAGGATCATCATCTTCCACCTCTAAAAGCCAGCCATAACCTCTTTGCCTCAGGAAGGTAGTTGCTGTGGATTCTTTCATAAATTCCACATTTCCTCCTCCAAGGTTGAGTTTCACATCCGTAGATGCTATTGAGCCACTTAAATCTTAAATAAAAAAAAAATGTAAGAGAATGTAGTCAAGAATATATACTGCTCAAAAAAATAAAGGGAACACAAGCAGAAGACATCCGAGATCTGAATGAATGAAATCGCCTTATTAAATACTTTGTTCTTTACATACAGTAGTTTATACACTGCTCAAACAACTAAAGGGAATACAAAACTACTGTATGTAACGAACAAAGTATTTAATAAGGCTATTTCATTCATTCAGATGTTGGATGTCTTCTGCCTGTGTTCCCTTTATTTTTTTGAGCGTATATTTTTGCTATACTGGAATATATATTGATATATGAGAAAAAGGGAAGGTTTCTAGGCCTAATTCTCATATCACGCTACATTGTTGCATTGTTGGTTTGTTTTTGGCTTGACCTGATATGCAACATTTTACAAAAGAAAATGTGGTTTATAAATTAAAGTGGCTGAGTTTGCATATTATCCTAAGCTAAAAGAAGTGTAACATAATGAAAGAAGCTAAATTATCTATAAACACATATAAGAAAATAGCTTAAAGAATTCAAAAGAAATGCACTGCAAAAATGTGTTAACATAAACTTTCAATTTTTAAAGCAGTGATATCCTTTGGAAGGCTTGTGACTGCTTCAGAGGTTATTGGATGCATGCATAGATGACACTAGATTTGTGCATACATGGGCAGAAACCTGGAAACAGTTTTTACAGCAATAATGCCAGCTTTCCAAAGGACCTGGCTGTTTTAAAACTCCAGGAAGGGGTGCCATGCTCATGTGATACATTTCGCAAAGCACTAACAAATACCAGCATATTATCCATTGTGGAGAACTGAAATATTCACTTTAGCATGAAGTTTCATAGGGTTCTTCCCTATAGTTCAGTTGAAATGCTCTCCTCCCCGATTAGCCAACAGGAAACTAAAGCAATATAGGATTTGCTGTCCATATATGCTTTTGCTTGCTGCTAAAGGATGATGTTGTTATTTCCTGTGTAGGAAAGACAATACTTTCCCATCTTCTCATCATCAACTGACAGGAAAACCATTCCCCAATCACAGAGAGAAGGCTTGAGCTGTAGATTTAGATCTTGACACCCTTCACTTGCCACTCAGCCTGGGGATCAGCTACCCAGGCTAGGAGAAAGAGTAGGCAGAGAAGATCTCTTTATTCCCAGGTATTTAAACTAATGACTCAAAGATTTGGACCAGATAATTCAAACAGCAGACTGGCACAGGAGTATCTGCTTTTTTAGAATTGCCTGCCCACCTCCCAGCTGTTATTCAGGCTTAGTATTATTTCAAAAGAACATTACATGAAGAAAAAGCCAAACAAGTGACAGATGAAATGTTAGGGTGGGGACAGGATATGTTATAAAATGCATTCTTTCTCCTGTATCATCGCATAATCCACTTTCATGTAGGTGGCATGGCAGGAAAAAAAATATTTTTGGATTTGTCTGTAATATGGTTAGGCAGAAGAAGGGAAAGACTGCAGAAGACTTATGCATTGACAACAAATACTCTTAAAATCTTCTAAGTTAAAAGACTATGGGCAAAGCAATTTTATATGACAAATCTAAAAACAATAAAGAATTCCAGAAAATATCTGTGACTTAATCTATTATATATCACTCTAAGAATAAGACACTTTTTCACAATCCAGAGTAAGATGCAGCCAAACTCTGTCCCAATTATACAAAATAGATGACTGTTTGATCAGTGAGCAGGGTAGATTAAAAACGTGGCCTGTTATTTCTGTAACAATAATGCTCAGATACTGCTGAAACATTGCATCTATTCTTTCTAAAATCCATAGAGCTGCTGTTATGCTTTTCTGTTCACTGCACAAAAGTGACATTTTGATTGAAGAGCATGAAGGAGGTTTAACTTAAAAAAAGAACAGTTTAACCATCAGTAGAAGTCATAGGACATTCAGTTTTGACGTGCAGAGCTATATACAGTGTAGAGAACTAGTTGAGTTTTGGAGTTTTCCATTAAAAATCTGGGAAATATCAATACATTTAAATACAGTAGTCCTCTACTTATGACGATTGGCACCAGAACGTCTGTCCTTAAGCGATGTGAGTGTTACATAAGTCACATCCAATTTTATCCTATTTAACAGAATAACAGAGTTGGAAGGGACTTTGGAGGTCTTCTAATCCAACCTGCTGCTTAAGGAGACCCTATACCATTCCAGACAAGCACCCACAACCTCTGAAGATAATCTGTTCCACTGGTTAATTGTTCTCACTGTTAGGAAATTTGTCCTTTGTTCTACCGTAGATTGCTTCTCTCCTTGATTTATTTATTAAATTTATATGCCACCTGTAACACTATCCAGAGTGACTGTATATGCCATGGTCATTAAGCAAATCACCAAGATAATTAAGGAAATATTACAGTGATTAAGCAAATCCAGCTTCCTCTTTTGATTGTTGAAGTCCCCCAGGAAGGTTGTAAATGGAGATCACATGATCCCAGGATTCTGCAACCATCTTAAATACATGCTGGTTGCCAAACACTTGAATACTGATCAAGTGACCATGGAGATGCTGTGGTGGTCTTAAGTAAGAAGACCAGTTGTAAGTCACTTTTTTTCAATGTTGTCATAACTCTGAATGGTTGTTAAATGAATCATCATAAGTTGAGGACTACCAGCATTAAGGCCATAATGGCATCCATACTTAACTCAGCTCAAAGGCCAGTCTAGTTCAGCATTTTGTCTTCATGGCAGCTAATCACATGGTTATGTTCGTTGCTATGTCCTTCAGCAACTGGTTATCAAAAGTTTTACTCTTTCTAGTTGCCATGATCAATAGGGATTGTAAATCTTATCCTTCAAACACCATACTCTCACTTTTTCCATCTTTCTCCCAAAATACGGCCAAGGACCATGAATCATACCCATCGGATGTGATCAGTCTAAAGTTTTCAACTTCAATTATTATCAATAATTTTGATCAGCAACTAATTCGCCCCCAAGTGTTGCTCTCCAGCGGTAACTTGACTACAACTCCCAGAAAGCTGCTCTAAAGTGCTTGTACACCTACAGAGATCTAGACACAACAGCAATCTGTGCTGATGCCCTATCAGAGTGAGTAACCAAGGTGCCACATCCACAGTCTTATGCGCTGGTGTGCGTGTGTGTGTGTGTGTAAAATATGGAAGAGAGCCCGGAAACAATGGAAGGAAACCACCAGAACTCAGTTTTAGTCTGCATTCCCTTCTTTAGCGGATCTGCGTAACTCAGTAAAGCTCCACATTCTCCTCCTTCTCCTCCCCCCACCTCCATTCCCATTACTCGATCCCTCCTTATTTACCGGACCTGTTAGTCCAGCCCTCCTTCTCTTCCCCGCAGGTGCCTCTGCCACGCAGACCAGGCTGCGCCACAGGGCTCCGGATTTCTTGGCATCTCCTCCAGGCAGCTCCCGGGGGTGCCCTCTCCGCGGAAGGCGCTACCCCTGCGTCCCACTCCCGTTCTTACCTTCGGCGTCGGCCGAGGAGACGAAGGTGAAATCGCCGTTATTGGGAGCGTAGAGCGGCTGCAGCGGAGGCGAAGCTTTGGGGGGACCCGGGTGCTGCATGGCTCCGCCCGCCGCGACAGCTCGGTCGGAGAGCCGAGAGAGGGCCGAACGGAACCGCCGGGCAAGCCCGGTCAACAGCAACCCGCGGAGGCGGAGATCACCCCCTCCCGCCTCCTCCCTCCTCCCTCCTCCTGCTGACTGAGCATCAAGCAGCAAACCTGAGATCGACTTTCCGATTGGGCTCCCGTAAAGCCCTCTTTGATTGGCTGCTAAGATCTTCTTCCCGATTGCCTCGGAACTGGATTTCATTGGTCCGGAGAGCCCTGGTGCTAGGTAATTGGTTGGATCAGGACCAGACGGGAGGCGGAAGAAAGAAAAAGATGGGGGCGGAGTGGTGGTGGGGGGGTAGGGGGAAGGACAGTTCTTCTGGTAAGGAAAGGGGGTGGGGTAAATCTTGTACCGTCTTCCTTGAAACTTCCACGCCTATGATGATGATGTGACGATGATGCCACGAAAGAACTCTTCGGTTATAACGCTCTGATTGGCTGCTTCCTTGCATTGTGCATGCATTTTGTTGCGTAGAAAACAGGGGTTTCTCTGCTTGCTTTTTGCTTAGCGAGCGCCTGTTCTGCTGATCTATTAATGCTCAGTCAGTATTGTAATGCTGAGGAGGCAGAATGTATCTATTGAATCTATTGTTAGATCTCTTTGAGTTATTTGCAGTAGATCAGCACGGAGTTCCAATGGTCGGTGATTTAATCGTGGCAGCAATTTACGCTAAAATGACAGTAGTTTTCAGATAAAACCAAACGCTCAAACAACCTCCAGATATGCTTTTTCAAAAACCTTTTCCGGTGTTAGAAGCATTTCTGATGCTTTTTCATGTCTTCTTATATTTATTTAGTTATTTATTTTATTTTATTTTATTTTATTTTATTTTATTTATTTATTTTATTTTATTTTATTATTTTATTTTATTATTTTATTAATGTTATTTTATTTATTTTATTTTATTTTATTATTTTATTTTATTTTATTTTATTTTATTTTATTTTAATTAAATTTGTATCTTGCCCTTCTCCCGAAGGACTCAGGGCAGTGAACAGCCAAAATTAAAATACATACAATATAAAATTTAAAATATGCCTTGTATACAATTGAAGGGGTATTACTTTTACCCCACTGCCTTTCCTTCACTGTTGCATCAGTTTTGAACCTTAGAGGCAGAAACAGAAATTGATTGCAGTCTAACATAAGCTTCCTGGCAGAAATGCATCAGTCAAGACCATTAATGCACCAAAAATACCAGGGGCCACAATATGAAAGATCCTTTCAATTACTTTTAGCAGCAAAGGACAGAAAGAATTCCGCCACTAAATTTGATTCTTCCTTCTAATCTAGAAAATGGTACAGCATTATCTAAACATACTCTTTAACATGCATATGGCTGTTTTATAAAAACAACACAAAAATGTTGATATTTGTTAGATTTATATCCCACATTTTCTCCAGAAGCTCAAGGTTACACACATGAGGGAGTCTAGTCATTTTATACTCAAGCTGAGGGAAGACAAGCGGCCCAAAGTCATCCAATGAGTTTCTATAATTCAAATGGACTAGAATCTGGATTTTCCCAATACTAGTCAATACTTTACTGATTACACCAGAATCTGGGCCCTTGGTAGGACAATGTGCTATAAGTATGTTAATTAAAAATAATCAATTTGTGATTGAATATGTAATGAACCAGGCCAATATCTATCCTCATATCCTGCTAACCAATAAAATATTTTATTATTTTGATTTAGTGTATTCTCAGAAATTATAGTAATAAATTACTATACCATAAATTGCTGGCTTCCTGCTTTTTTATATTGCTATGCTTTTTACTTTCATAGTTCTGTTAATCCTTTCACATTATTGTATGCATTATACTTTTAACATTTTGTTTTCAATTTTATAATTAAAAAAAAAACCAGTTGATTCACTGTCAGCTATCCATGGTTGCTAATGAACAGTCCTGTCTTCTGTTGTCTCACATGTGTTTTGTCTCAGATACGTCCGCAGCATTTATAGCTTTTATAGCTATTCCAGGGGCAGAAACAAGGGCAAAACAGGTTTTCTGAAAATTGAAATGGATTAAAAATTACTTGAGTACAATATTCCAGGATTGGCTATCTGGACTTGCCATATTAAATATAAAAAATGAGTGAGCTAAAAAAACTTAACCAGTTTCATCTTTTACCTTGAGCAAGAATAATTAATGAGTTTGTTTCTAATTATAAAATAAAAATTTCATGTTTGTATGATATACATTTATAATGCTTCATATGAAATAGTATTTATTTGTTGAGGGTGGAGTGAATTCTAGAGCTCATTTGCCTTTTCCTTCACTTTTGAAACAGTTCCTGAATTTTGCAATGCTATAATTCCCAGGGCTCTGACCTATTTAGAATTTTTAAAAGATTTAGAAGATTTAGAATTCTTAAAATTAGAAGATTTAAAATAGGGGATCTTAGTAGTCAGACAACTTTAGTGTATATCATTGCAATGTTGGTATAAGAATCCAGTTCTTTTTTTTATACCAAATACAATCTGAGGAAATTAATTCATGATATAATAGAATGCAAATAAATGTTCTATCAGCCAGTCCCGGGACATGTGGCAGCAACTGTCACCTAGATAGATTTCAGAATATAGTTCCACAGGCTCCCTGCTGTGAAACCCTCTGGTTGAAGTTGGGCTCTATGTAGCCCTTCAACTGTTACTACTATAGTGACTTCCCTGATGCACAGAAGCATTTCTGCCTATTTTGTCACCTTGGTTGACAAAAGCTAGTTCTTGGTAACTTCAAACTGCATTGGTGATGTAGAATTTGGAGCATTCATGGCAACCATTGACTTGAGCATTGGAGATAGCATATTGGTTTGGGCTTTCTGTTAGGGTAGTGTGATAGAATGTGCACCTGGAGAAGCCATGGATGGAGTCTTGGCAGAGCTTTCTCATGGTAGAGCCAGTTGTACATTCCAAAGAGAAGCCCAAATTAAGAGTCTGCAGTGCTGAACTAGATGGGGAAGGGGAGGAAGATGTTCAGCCACATCCTAGGATCTCTCAGGATACATCTATTAGAGTGGATGGATATAGCTTTAATTTGGCAAGATTCTGTCCATTACATGTAAGCAAATAAAAGATTGGATTCAATTGGATTTCATTGTGTCATCTTTGAGCTTGAGCATGACAAGTAGTTGCACTGGGAGCTGGTAATGAAAGATATAACTACTAGTCTCTTGTTATGGTTGGGTCACTCTATGACTGCTTTCTCTTTGCTGGTTAGGGTTCCAGAAGGGTTTCAGAAGGATGGGTTCCAGAAATTGCTTGGCTTTATCCTGAGTTTTCAGTGGATAATTCAACTGAGCCCCTTGTTGCACTCTAAAATAGGCATGTGAGGTGCAATTTAGATTGGATGGTTCCTATGTAGCTTCTCACTGTAATCAATCCTGGGGTGTTTCTTGGTTTTCTGAGAAACTCCAGCAGATGAAACAGCAGAAGAGATGCCTAGAGTAACACTGGAGAAAGATAATACCTACAGGTTTACTACAGGTAAGAACCCATCTTAAATTGTGGCAAAAAGAGCAATAAAATGTGAATATTTTTCCTGTTGTTATCATGTTCACAAATAGCTGTCCAGCAGCCTTTTATAAGGTGTCCCATTCATTGCTGCAGAGAACAGGCTACAAGAACTTTTGAAGAGCTGGGAAGAATAATTTAGGCATGTAGAATAAAGTTACTCAGATCCATTTGGAATTAAACTCCAACTGGGCAAGTCCTATCAAGGCGATGGAAGCACAGTCTTGCATGCTTAGCTGGGTTGAGTCTTGTCCAGGAGACACTTTTACCCTATTAGTCCTTTATACAGAATTCATAGCTAACAAACATTACTATTGAAATGTTGTTTATTGGTAGGCCATCTGGACAAATTAAAGAAGAAAGACCTGGTGGGATATATGAACAGGATGGTGCTACTGACCTTAAGACCTACTGGATGCTTCCTGTAGGTGTTTAGCTAATCACTGTGGGAACAGAATGGTGGACTGATTCACCAAATGTTTTAGAATCATAGCTTCCACCACCTGTCATAAAGCATCACCTCTTCCAGGGGTGAAATCCAGCAGGTTCTGGAGAACCAGTAGCGGAAATTTTGAGTAGTTTGGAGAATTGGTAAGGGAAATTTTGAGTAGTTCAGAGAACTGGCAAATGCCACCTCTGGCTGGCCCCAGAGTGGGGTGGGAATGAAGATTTTGCAATATCCTTCCCCCAGGAGTGGGGAGGGAATGGGGATTTTGCAGTATCCTTCCCCTGGAGTGGGGTGGGAATGGAGAATTTGCAGTATCCTTCCCCTGCCATGCCCACCAAGCCAAACCCACCAAGCTACACCCACAGAACCGGTAGTAAACAAATTTGGATTTCACTACTGACTTCTTCCCATTGGCTATTGATGTCCAAATATGGCAATGGGGAATGTGGCAATTGATGTCTAATTTTACAGGACCACCATTTCTCCTCCCTTCTAAATCTTTGGTGTGATCCAAGCTGGCTCTTATTACAGCCTAATACATAGCAGATGACAAACATAATACTTTCCAGAGGTTTGACATTTCTTAGGTTTTCCATGCAAAGGGGAGGTTGTGGTCAATTGTGTAACAAGATCTTATTTTCTTATTAGGAGTTTTTTGCCCAGGGACATGCATGACTTGTTGATTTTTTTAGATTTCATCTTTCTTTTATTATTCTTGGCCCATGAAGGTGTTTCCATTCCATCTTTAATATCCTGATCACAGATGTTTAATTTCTGAGTTCAGAATATTTAGTTAATTTATATTTAGCAAAACGTTCTACACTCCTTGGCTCTATCAGTACATTCCAACAACTAAAATGTAGCTCTATAAAAATGTATTCTCTTAACCTGCTTGGATTAGGCCTTTGCGTTTCGTAATTATGGCTTTGTGTGCAGATCTAGAGGACTTTTAATTTTGTTTTAAAACATTTTTCTCTGTTGCACAGGAAGATGACATACAGGAAGATGCTGCAATGTTGTGACAGAGAAGTCCCAACTTTAATTCACTTTAAAAGAGAGGTTTGAAATTTTCTGGGCAAAGAATTAAGAACATCCCACCTGCTCAGGTTTATACTTCAGCTGAAATTATACCTAGAGCAATCACCTGAGCCTGACCTAAGTTACACATGCACTTGCTTCCTTGCCAGATCATTTGTAATGAATGTTGTGGAGAAAGCTGTCTTTGAATGGCAGTGTTCTCTTCTGTAAGCACTACCCTTTCTTGCAACACCCTCTTCTGGAAACCGGAAGTGCTGTATAGTATTCTGTGAGCTAAGTGAAACAAGTATCAAAGTTCAACAACTGGGCGTGAGAAGGAACTTAAAACTGCTACAGATTGGTAACATTTTCCCTAACAGCTTCTCAAAACAGGTATGTTTCTTTTTGCTTGATATACTTTGAACATTTCAGGCATTGTTTTAGATCAGTATTATAGAACAACCGTAACAAGAGATGGGTATTCCTTGGGGACGATTTCTACTTACATTTGTGAAAGGAAGGAAAGAAGGAAGTGGTGTGGGGAACATGGACAGAGAGCATTTCTTTACTAGAAGCAGCTCCAGATCTATCCATTAATCCTCTCCTCAAGATCCAGCTCCCGCAGCTCCAGTTCAGGATTCCTGGGGCTCCTTCAAACAACTACATTACAACTACAAAAGCATGATCAAAATGCTTTACCTTTTTTTGGGGGGGTGGGGAAAACATGGCTACTGCTCCAGAGCCTTAATATATTTGGTGAAACCAAACTGTGCAAATGAACTTTGCAGATGAAAGACAGTGATGAACAGCTCCCTGACAAAGTTATGGATATTTTCTGCCTTCCTTGGTGCCAGTTCTTTGTTATGCATACTGCTTTTATTCCTGTCAGATCTCTTGACTGCCTATTAGTTGAGCCAACTGCAAGTGTAGAAATCAGAGAGGGCTCAAAATATTTTGATGAAGGGCACTGAAAATCCATATGTTGTCTTGTTGCCTAGTTAAAAAAATACAATATAGATTTGATAGTTTGCTGTTAATTAACCGAACCGCACACTTGCTGCTTTAAACATATCTTCTTGTCAGAAGGGTCAAGTTGATTGTTAAGATTTTGTTATGTCCCCTGAGAAATGTATTCCTTTCAAAATGTTCATCTTTGTAAGAGAGTTTAAGGAATTAAGGACAGTCACATCACAAAACGAACCACATTGGAACATCTTGTATTATTGTTAGGAGATGGTTTTGGTGGATTCAACCTTTTTGACAGTTTGCTATGGACTTTCCGCATACCAGGAAAGGAAATAAATATGGTAGATATGGATACATTAATTCACCATTCACATTTCCCATCCCATGAAGAAAACAAATGTCTTCATTTATCCAAGAAGATTCTATGCAGAATGTAAAACTTGGAAAAGGATTTTTTTAAAAAAATCAGTTTTTATAATTAGCATCATAGCATGGTGCTATGATTCAGTCTGTGTGCATTTGTGAAGTTTACATTTTATTATTAAAATCTCTGCATTTCCTCTAGGATTACCAACCATTTCTGCTGCTGTATTTGAACGTTCAGAATAAGAGTTATGACCTGCAGTCAAACCAAGTTAGCATTCATTATTCAGAGCACGAGTAGAATTGATTAGATTTAGATTGGAAGAACCATCTGCTCTCACCAATGGATTTTTTAGAGAATAACCGTGAACAGCTTATTCAAAGAATGGAGATGGCAACTGTCAAAAAAATTGTAGATTGTCTTTTTGCAAAATCTGTTTTGTCATGTGAAGAAAAAGATAGTATCCTTTGCCAAAAAGTAAGGCAGGATGCGTCAAGAAAATTGACATGCTCCATTTTGGAAAAAGGTGATGAAGCCTGTGGGATTTTGGTGAGATCACTGGAGAAAATCGATTTTTTCCTTTTTAAGAAACTACAGGGAAGCCGTAAGTAGATATTAAAATTTATTTTTTATTAATTATTATTATATTCTTATAGTAAATATCTTTATTAACATTGCCATTTTTTCAAATTTGGTTCCTTTATTAAGTACAAATTAACTTTATTATTTTGCTTATGATAGAGGTGGTGTCAGGAGAAAGTCATAGCTTCTGCTATGACTTAGCAGTTCGAATGCACATAAAAAATGCAAGTAGAAAAATAGGGACTGCCTTGATGGGAAGGTAACAGCATTCTGTGCGCCTTCGGCATTTAGTCATGCTGGCCATATGACCACAGAATTGTCATTAGACAGCACTGCTCTTTAGCTTAGAAATGGAGATGAGCACCACCCCCTAGAGTCGGGAACGACTAGCACATATGTGCAAGGGGAACCTTTATCTAGTTTTCAAGAATCTTGTACCACACCAGAGAAAGTTAAAACTAGCCCCTGAAGTGGACTCCAGAAAGATCCAAGCTTCAAAAATCCAGATAATTACCAAATGGCAGCAAAATAGATAGAGCCTCAGTGGTGCAGCAGACTAAGTGCTGTTAAGTGCTAGCACTTAGCTGCCAGCTGCCTGCAATTAGTGTGAGTTCAAATCTCACCAGGCTCAAGGTTGACTCAGCCTTCCATCCTTTCGAGATAGGTAAATTGAGGACCCGGATTGTGGGGGCAATAAGCCAGCTTTGTATAGAACAACACCGCCTGAGGGGAGGGGGCAAAGCCCTAATAAGCAGGTATATACATAAAAGTATGCAGGCTATTGCTATAATGCATTGTAAGCCGCCCTGAGTCTACGGAAAAGGACAGCATATACATTGGACTAATAAATAAAATAAATAAATAAATAAATATTAAAGGGTTTTCTACTTATTAAGGCTTTTACAGCTTAGATTGGACAACAGCTCTAATTAAAATTAATATAAAATGTAGGTTGCCTCTATCTGATCTCATTTAATCTGCATTGTAATAGTATATCAATTAAATCATACTCTTTAGTAACATTGTATTCAGATCTTTCTGTTTTGTTTTAGATACAGATGGGCAAGTTACACAACAAGATGTTGATTACTTAGCTCAGGATTTAACTAATTTATATAGGAATCCATCCTTTGAACGTTTCCATCCACTGGGTGAAGAAATTGATATCATTTTTGATTTGAAGAACACCTATACAGATATCTTGCTTTGGAAGAAAGATATCCATAATTCCCGCTTGGTGCAAATGACTTTAAATGCTCTTTTAGATAACCTTGAAAGTCCCTGTATCATAGAGGGGGAAGCTGGGAAAGGAAAAACAACTCTCCTCAAAAAGATTGCTTTACTCTGGGCTAATGAAGATCATCCTTCTTTGATGAGATTCAAGCTTGTCTTCTTCATCAGCCTGAGTGGGGTAGAGGCAGGACTATATGAGACCATATGTGAACAGCTTCTTAAGAAGAACTATAGAATATGTAAAGAAGACTTTATGGAGATATTAGAATTGCTAGCAGAAAAAGTCCTTTTCCTTTTAGATGGGTATGATGAATTCAAGTCCCAGAGTTGCCCAGAAATAGAAGCACTGATAAAAGAAAGTCATAAATTCAAGAACACAGTTATTGTTACTACAAGGACTGAGTCAATTCGAAAACTGAGGCTGTTTGGGTCACTGATTGCTGAGACAGGCGATCTAACCATGGAAAGTGCAAAAACACTGGTTAAAAATGTTTTGAAAGAAGCCACATTAGCTGAGGGCCTGCTGTCTCAATTGGAGAGTTTAGATTCCACTTTCCAGAATTCAGGGACTCAGCTGGAGAACCTTATGAGGACCCCTTTATTTGTGATTATTGCTTGTGCCATCCAAATGGGAGAATCCACTTTTACTCCACATACACAAACCACTCTGTTCTCCACCCTGTACAATTTGTTGGTAGGGAAAAACAAGCACAAGATCAGAGGGACAAGTGACAACCATTTTCGGCTCAGCCTAATTCACTGTGGAAATTTGGCTTTGGATGGAATCTTTGAGCAAAAATTTGTTTTTCATCCCGAGGATTTTTCCAGTGTGAAAGAAAAAGTGCTGTTATCTATGGGCCTTATGCACAAGTACACAGCTCAGAGACTAAAAGAAGCATATACATTTTTTCACAAATCGTTCCAAGAATATATTGCAGGTCGAAGACTTTCCAGACTATTGAGATCCAATAGGGATGAGGAAGTAACCAGAGGATTCGATTATCTCCAAAGGATTAGCAGTTTCTCGGATATAATTACTACTTATCACAGTTTACTTTTGTATACCTGTGGATCGTCTTCTGAAGCCACCCAAAAAATTATCAGCCATTTATCAGCCATTCATCAACAGGGTAGTCTTTTTGGATTGCCTTTTGCTCGTGATTTATTTCCAGAAGAACTCAAGAAATATGAACGAATTGCTGAAGAAGAAGAAGAAGGCTTAATAGCAACTCGGGAAAATTCATTTGTGGAGTGTGCTATTAGATTCCTTTATGAAAGCATCTCTGAAACAACTGTAAAGAAGGAGTTTGAGGAATTTTTCCATGATAAAAAATTGTACATCAATACCCAGAGCATTCCTATCTATGTCTCTGGATTTTTTGACTACTTTTCTAATTGTGTAAGTATGTTAGAAGTCATCAAATTAGACTTTTTTGGTACTTCATCAACTACAAGGACAGCATGGAAAACTGTCATCCCCGAAAAGGCAGTGTCCTTGTTCTTCAACTGGGATCGAAAGCTCAAAGGTTTAGAAATTACCTTAAAAGATTTCAATCAATTAGAGAAGGGTGATGTTAAGTATCTGGAAAAAATATGTTGTTCTGCCTCAAGTCTGAAACTGATCATCAACAAATGTCCTGGCCTCACAGGAAAGTTGAGGGAAGTCCTCAATAGCTGTACAAATCTGCAGGATCTTACTGTAGAGTCCACACCCCTTAGCATGGAAGATGAGCAACAGATAACCGAAATGATGGTACTGAAAACTATAAAGGTAAAAGACCTGCAGAATGAAAACCAGCATGGTATGTGAACAATAATATTGATAAATAACATGTTTACTGTTGTGATTCAGCTATTATATATTGTGTGTTTCCAGACCCCCATGCAAAATGCCCCTTTATACACTCTTGTATTTCTGTTCCATGGGCTAATGTGGAATATATAAATATATCACTATATCAATAAGATCTCTGTTAAGGTCATCTTCCCTAATCTCTATTCTGGATTATAGTGCTATCTAACTTTACTTGAATTGGCAGAAAGCTATATCAACATGAAATTTGCTATTCCTATCGCCTATTTCCTATCCTTCACCTTCATAATGCATTATTCCTCAGTCATCTTAAAACATAGAACAGTTGGAACATAGAATAATAGAATTGGAAGGGACCTCAGAGGTCTTCTAGTCCAACTCCCTGGTCGAGCAGGAGATCCTATACCCTTTCAGACAAATGATTGTCCAGTCTCTTTTTGAAAGCCTTCACCAATGGAGCATCTACAACTTCTGAAGGCAAGCTATTCCATTGGTTGATTGCTCTCACCATTAGGAAATTTTTCCTTAGTTCTAGGTTGCTTCTCTCCTTGGTTAATTCCCAACCCTTGTTTCTTGTCTTGCCTTTTGGTACTTTGGAAAATAGTTTGACCCTCTTGGAAAAGTGTGATAAAGTCTAACCAATTTTGACTGATGCTACCCTGATGTTGAGCAATATTTAAGGAAGAATGAAAACATGTCTGCTTACTCAAAATCTCCTCCTTTTATTTTCTCTGCATATATTATTCTCAGGTTTGTTAAAGGTATGTGAAGGAGAGAGAAGTATTTGGATGTAGAATGGAGAAGTATATGATGATGGGGTGGAAGAAAAGCTCTTTTCTGTTTCAGATGAATATTATTAGTGTCTGTTTCTCTGTCTGCCAGTTCATCCATCCAACTCCATCCGTCCTTATGTCATTATGAGTTTTTTAAAATCAAATGTTTTTTTTCTTAGGGGGTCTTCTTGATGGAATATCTATCCTCTCTAATGTGGAAAAAATTATATTTGATAATGTCAAGATGAACGAGAATGCTGCTGGCAAATTAGGTAACTTTAGTGAATGAACCCAGAAAGTATCCTATAGAGTTCAGTTGAAATTTATTTAATGTATGTTTAATAACATTTATATATTCTATCCCTCCATTTGTTTTTTCTTCCTTCATTTTATCCTGTTGCTAGATTGCATGTTTTAATTTTAAATATTAAATTTAGCATAAAAAAGAAGCTGAATATTCTACCATGTAAGTAACCAGTCAAATACTTTTAATTTGCCCTGAAAAAATAGATTAAAGCATCCTGAGTGATTGTCAATACATTGCACGTTCCTCCTGGTTAGCAGGATATGGGGAGCATATACTGGATTGGTTTGCAAGTTAGTCATTAAATTAGACATCCTATTTGCTTAGAAATGCATGCTTGAAATAAAATTGGATATTGGTTGTCCCTGAATTATACTAGCAAAATCATATTGTTCATCATATAGAACAATACTATTTAGTAATGAAAAAGGAATGCTGCATAACACACAAGCATTGTTTTTTACAACATAGTTTTCATTTCTTTTGCTTTTCTGCACTTTGCAGAATGTTGCTTATTTCAAAAGGGAATACCGTGGTGTTATAGATATGCCAGTTGTAATAAAATAAAACTGTAACTAGTTTTTTTCCCTCAATTTGTTTATAGCTGAAGGCTTAAAGAATTTGAAAAAGTTGAATTCACTGCAATTGAAAGAGCTTCCAAATGTTGGAGATGGAATGATAAGTATAGTAAAATCAATATCCTTAGATCTTCAAGAACTAGAAGAAATTTGTTTGGTTAACTGCTGCATTTCTGCGACTGCTATAGAAATTCTAGGTAACATCAACGTTTTGGTTATTTTTATCCACTTATTCTATTTGTAAGTTATCCAGTAATAATAGCATTCTTGGGGATATACCAAACTTCTAAAACAGATGACATTCTGAATAGTATTGCTTACAATTCTAGAACAGATTCCTCCCCACCCCAAACTGTTACTTTCTAGATATTAACCGTCTTGTCGGTTGTGAATTTTGAGAAAGGATAGTAGGTTGAGGGAATCTACACCTTAGAACAAAAACAGTATTTCAAAACAGAATAACCTTATAATCATTATGCAGTTCAGACTGTCACTCTAGGACACTGGTGGCAGCTGTTAGGGGTGTCCGACACCAAGGTCATATTAGTTGATATTGGATCCTGTATGGTGGAAATGCCACCTGAGCTTGCTGATTTTCAAAACATACTGTATTCAACTCTTGAACTGTGACTTTTCCCAATCTATAAATCAGCCTTCTTCAACCTGGCATCCTCAGTATGTGTTGAAATTACTGCCCTCAGGCTTTTTAACCAAGATTACCAATTGAAAATGCTTCCTTTTTCTGGGGCCCTCCAGATGCTACTAAACTATAACTTTCAGGATCCTTTTAACAATAGCTTTGTTGGTCAGGGTTTCTGGGAATTAAAATTTCGGCAAAATCTGGAAAGCCAAAAATCCCATTCCTCTTTTAGCTAAACCTTCTTTCTGTGAACTACCAGTTCAAGACATAGTTTCCCAAAAGGGTGATTCTAAATCATGTCTTTTTATGTCATTCAGACATTTATCTCTGTTTTCATCTTCAGTCTTTCTTCCTCTAGATCTTCTAGAATTGGACCTTTTTCTTTATCCATTTGTATTTAATTTAATTTAATTTAACCTAACCCCATTAGACTCTCAGCAGATAATAAAATACAGAAAATAATTAAATACATATAATTTGACTGCTGTTATTACTGCTGTTTAGTATTATTTGCAATTTATCACAGTGGTCTTTTTAACGAAGCACAGATTTATGGTCTTATTTCATACTCTTTCCCATGCCTATAAGTTAATTCACTGTGTGCTTCTTATTTTATAGTTCAGAATATTTGCAATTTGCGCAAACTTTCTGCACTTGATTTATCCAACAATTTTTTGGGAAATGGAGGAAAAGAAGCTGTTTGTCAATTAGGTAAGAAAGATAATTTTCTCTCAGGAAAATGTTGCAATCATAGATTATATTTTGGTGTCTTGCTCAATAGAGGAGCCATGTTGATGCAGTGGTTAGAATGTGATACTGCAGGTTAACTCCCCACAGCCAGAAGTTTGATCCTGACTAGCTGAAGGTTGACTCAGCCTTCCATCCTTCCGAGATCAGTAAAATGAGGAACCAGATTGTTGGGGGCAATATGCTGATTCTGTAAACCGCTTAGAGAGGGCTGTAAAGCACTGTGAAGCAGTGTATAAGTCTGAGTGCTATTGCTATTGCTATGTTCTAACAAATCTGAATCTTAATTTGGGCCTTGGATTGAAAAGAAAAATATACAAGAATGGAAATTATATGTATTTCAAGGCTAAATTGTTGGATTCTTGATATTCTCTGAGCTCGTTTTTTTTCCTGTGGACATTTCATTACCAGCTAGGTAAAATCATTAGCATATGGATGAGTGAAGTTTGCTGGCTGCTTTTATATATGATAGCTTGACCTACCTAACAATACAAATCTAAAACAGCAATAAGGATTCTATAATATTGAATAAAATTTTATAAAATAAATTTATATTTATTTTATTGTTATGTTATATATATTATTATATACTATATTATTATATATTATATTATAATTTTATAATAGAACATAATTATAATATTATTTATTATATATTATCATATATAAATATTTCTATAAAATTCTATAATATTCAATAAATAAATGCCAACTAGCAGGTCATTTTCTATAAAGTAATTCAATAGAATGCATTTCAGAGATGGGGTAATGATAGGGAAGACTTGATCGAGAATTGCAGACATACAAGCCTAGAACAAATTGTGTGAGCTAAATGGCTTGGTGAAAAATCATATAATAGGGATGTGGGCAGTGGTGAAATCCTCCGGGGATTGCCACTGGTTCGCTGCCCGCACATGCACGGTGCGCACCAAAAGCACGCTGTGTGCATGCGCATGCAGAGTGCATGCCAAAAGCACGCTGCATGCACATGCGCAGTGCATGCCAAATGCACGCTTCACATGGAAAAAGGAGGTTTAACAAGGTAAGTAGAACAGGGAGGGGGGGTAACAGCTGTGCCATGCAATTTAGATTTGCTAGAAAGTAGGATTTCCTGCTTTCTAGCGAATATAAATTGCACAGCTGATCATCAGAAATACCGATTCGGATGAATCGGTAGCTTTTATCAGCATTTCACCACTGGATATGGGAACTCTTTGCAGCAAAAAATGGGAATAAAATCAAGATTAATATATTGAACCGGTGATTTCTTTGAAATACAGCATATTATTTATCTGCATTGCTTATGTCTCTTTAATAAATAAAGGGCCACCATCCGTGAGCTGTTGGACAGTATTACTTGGTCTGTTGTGTGGATGTTTGGGTGGTTTAGGGGTGGAGAATTGTGGTGGGTGATAGTGTGTTTGGGGATTGTTATGTGTGTTGGACCTGGTCTTTGGGTCTTAAGTGAATTTCATTGTATGGGTATACTGTGTATACACGTACAATGACAATAAAGTTATTTATTTATTTATTACATATGCAGGCTATCTTTTAATTAATGCCATAGTAGATGACAGCTTTTAGTTGAATTTGCTGATCCCTGTAAAGTTAAACTGAGCCTGATTTGGTTAATCACCAGATTGGTTACAGGCTACATTGGGAGATTGAAAAGCATCCTGAAAAAAGACAGAGGGAAAACAAAACAGTAATCAGAAGTAAAGATGAATTTATTTTTTCTTTAGTTGAAAGCTTAAATAGCCTACCAAAAATGAAAATTCTGATGTTTCCTTGGGTGGATGAAGTGAATGTTTGCCTTGTTAAGTTAGAAGAGTTAAAGAGAATGCCACAGTTGACCAAACTTGGGCTAAAGAAATGGAGAACTACCAACTCTGATGCCAGAATTCTCAGTAAGTATATTTTGCACTATTAAAAGAGAGACATGAAAACAAGAGTGAAGGGCTCACATGTGGTAGTATACTGAGTCAAAGCAATAGCTTTGTAAGGCTATTGTAAGAGTTATTTGTTCATTTATATAATAAATATAGCCATCTCACTGCTGTGACTCTGAGTAGCTTATAAAGTTAAAAATCCAAAAAAAAGTTCAAGCACAACCAAAAAATAATGGCAAAATCATTAAAAAAAACCCTCTTAAAATAATGAAAATATTAAGAGCACCATGGGGAGAGAGCACCATTCATTTTCTTGAAAGCACAACCATTTAATCAGGCTCTCCACATCACCAGATCCCAGGCCGGATGACAAAGCCATGTTTTCAGACTCCTCTAGAAGGCCAACAGGATCAGGGCTAATCTCTCCTCAGAAAGGATGATGTTCTCAAAGATGGTTGCTGCGGCAGAACTGAGTCTCTTCCTGGCTCCTGTCAGAGGACATTCCTTTGTACACAGAATTACACCATGTCATTTTTGCCAGATCTGATGGACAGATAGATTTGATTAAGGCAGTCCCTCAAATACCTCAGCTGACTTTTGCAGATGTTCTACATGTTTGTGTATATAGAAATATGACCTAAAACAAAAATACATTCAAAAGATTAATATTCATACTTGGTACATGGAAAAAACAGAATTATGTTTCAGTATTTAGCAGTACAATAATGGGCCTCCTTGGGACACAATCTAAACCAGGCGTCCCCCAATCTCTTGGCCATGGCCCACTACTGGGCCTTGAGTTGTTTGGAACCAGGTGCCAGAAGTAGTAGGTGAGTGCATATGCATCTCCACTTGTGTGAGCAATGGGTCAGCACATGCGTGCACGCTACATTTGCACGAGCGGCAAGCATGCATGCCTACCACTTGCACAAATGGAGCTGCACGCACATACATGCTTGTCCACTGTTCACGCATAGCCATCCCCTCTCCACACACACACACACTTCCTGACCGATCTGCAAAGCTGGAAAGGTTGGGGAACTCTGGTCTAAACTACAACAGCACTATCTAGATTGCTACATGATTCATGATTCTATAAAACTTCTATGGAAGCATCTTGGAAGAAAACAATCTATTGCTTTTACACTTTAAGTTTTCTAAAAGTCTATGTTAGAAGAATATATATATATTGGCAATAATGTTTAGCACCACAGGGCCTTCTGATCATGCAGGCAGTTGGGTATAGATGTAGAGTTAAGTGTTTACTTTGTGACCCTTTTTTATCTGTCACTGTCTGCTTTTTGCCTCAGAGGTCTCAGGTCACTTCCCTCTGTTTTCTTCGACAGGCACATGCGGAAGCATGCTTTTTGACTCTTCGCCTGGCAGGAATTATTATTTTAATTTATATAGCCACCAGGATTGCCGTAGCAACCCTAGGGGTTCAACAGCATATTAGAAAAAATACAAAAAAACAATAAAGCAGCAACATGAATAGAATAGAATAGAATAGAATAGAATAGAATAGAATAGAATAGAATAGAATAGAATAGATGTCAGATTTCAATGTCATCTCAAATAAATTGCACTCCCAAACAATTAATCTTTGCTGAAATATTCCATTTATTGAGTACGACAGATCTGGCCCCAACTTCTTCGTAGCCGATACTAACCCTCTGACCCCCAAACCCTTCCCTTTCCGTTCCCCAATTCTCATCTTCTCATTGGCCATCTTCCAAGTCAGTCTCCACAGCTTCTGACCTCACCCCACAGGAATGTCCCCCCTCCCATCCCATCTCCTAGGGGATATTATCTACAGAGAAAATAAGTAGGTGAAAAGTCAAACCTCGTCTCCTCCTTTTTATGGCAGCATCAGAATGCTGACAATAGAATAGAATAGAATAGAATAGAATAGAATAGAATAGAATAGAATAGAATAGAATAGAATAGAATTCTTTATTGGCCAAGTGTGATTAGACACACAAGGAATTTGTCTTGGTGCATACGCTCTTGGTGTACATAAAAGAAAAGATACATTCGTCAAAAATCATAAGGCACAACACTTAATGATAGTCATGGGGTACAAATAAGCAATCAAATGTCAGACATGTCAGACATCTGAGATTAAAAAACCTCCATTCTATAGTAACTCATAACAAAAACCTCCTGTAGTTAGATAAATTTCGTCTATCCCTAAATAGTTCCAGTAAATAAATCTCCCCCTTCTTATTGCTGTACAACCTGCTTGCCAAATCCTTGATGAGGTCAGATTCTTGCTCTTGAGAATACTCACATAGGATCCTTCAACCTTAAATACTAATTGATTTGATTTTGAGATGTAAAGCATTATCTTTATATTCTCGTCGATATTAAGATTCATTCATTAAGATTGTAGGCCAATTTTGAACATTCATTTATATACATATGATTAAGCCTACACTCAATTATATTTGCTGTATAATCTGAGAAACAAGAAATTACTGAATGTAATTCAAACGTATTTCCCTAGGTACTCTTTTTGCAAAAGCATCTTTGGCAGACCTCCAGCATCTGGACATGGCAGAGACTTGCCTGACAAGTGAGGGGTGGCTCACTATCTTGAAGGCATTAACTCATCTCAAAAAGCTGACATTTCTAGACTTCAGCCAAGAACAAGGCTTTACGCCCTCTGCCCTGTTAGTCTTGGCACTGGCCCGCCTGATAAACCAGTTGGTTTCTTTACAAGAGATTGATCTGACTGGCTGGCAGTTTGATACCCATGAGCTGAAAGAAATTAACAAAGCAAAGGAAAGTCATAGGAATGGGTTGCAAGTAATAGTTTCTTCAATCAAGCCACTTCTGGATACAACAATTTGATCATTCCCAGAGCAGTGGTGAAATCCAATTTTTTTTACTACCGGTTCTGTGGGCGTGGCTTGGTGGGCATGGTGTGGCTTGGTGGGTGTAGCTTGGTGGGCGTGGCAGGGGAAGGATACTGCAAAATCGCCATTCCCACCCCACTCCAGGGGAAGGATACTGCACAATCCCCATTCCCTCCCCACTCCTGGGGGAAGGATATTGCAAAATCTCCATTCCCACTCCACTCTGGGACCAGCCACTCGTGGACCAGTATTTGCCGGTTCTCCGAACTACTCAAAATTCTGCTACCGGTTCTCCGAACTACTTAAAATTTTCACTACTGGTTCTCTAGAACCTGTTAGAACCTGCTGGATTTCACCCCTGTTGCAGAGCCCTAATGGAGTACACTTCTAAGTATCTGGACCTTAATATGAAGAATTTACAGATGGAAAAGACTTATAGATGAGGGGGAAAAAACCCAGAATATAAACTTGAAATCAGAAAAAAATGTGAAATATATGTATTTTGAAAAAACACAAACAGGCTTTTTAAAAATGTGGAAGGAAAGCTGGTGTTATACAAGTTCTCTTTATCTGGATTTTAATATATAGTATTATTATGTATAAACAATTACATTATTCTTTGTTTTGTTTTTTTAATAATAGGAGTGAATCTATTTTGAAAGACAAATCTAATATTGTCAGTATAAACAAGATTATGTCTGCACATTTTCCTTTGGTGTTTTGATGCTTTAATTTCCCCATCTTTAACCACCATATTTATTATCTGAAGAATGCTTTTACTGAGCTGAAGGTTAGATAATGCTAAATTAGGAATCCTGAAATATGTGTACTAGTAGGAAATGTATCAAGAAATATACTTTAGAGAGGACAGCTTGCAAATCATTACTTCCAGGTGCTGCTTCATCATTCCTAAGATGTGGCTTTATAGAGCAGCTTACCACCTTACTGGCAACTCTATGGTGTCCCTCTGAGACTTTTTGGTACATTGTATTGTTCCCAGTTGCAATGTATGGCTGTGAAAGTTGGACCATAAGAAAGGCTGAGCAACAAAAAATTGAGGCCTTTGAACTATAGTGCTGGAGAAGACTTCTGCAGATCCCTTGGACTGCAAGGCGATCGAACCAGTCAGTCCTAGAGAAGTTCAACCCTGACTGCTCTTTAGAAGGCCAGATCCTGAAGGTGAAACTCAAATACTCTGGCCACTTAATGAGAAGGAAGGACTCACTGGAGAAGAGCCTAATGCTGGGAAAGATCGAGAGCAAAAGGAGAAGGGGACGACAGAGAATGAGGTGGCTGGATGGAGTCACTGAAGCAGTCGGTGTGAGCTTAAATGGACTCCAGAGGATGGTACAGGACAGGAGGGCCTGGAGGAATGTTGTCCATGGGGTCAAGATGGGTCGTACACGACTTCGTAACTAACAACAACAACAACATTGTGCGATGGCTGTGACCGTTACCTATACAGGCAACCAGCTGGGCACATGGAATTAATCTAAATATTCCTGCAGAGTGCATAAGGCAGACAGTCAATGGCTCGAGAGCCAGAGAGTCAGATGGGTCAATGTTGACACTCAAAGTGTTATGTTGGAGGAAGCTACAGTGTAGGTGGCACTGATAGAGGAAAAGTGGATTCTTTTCTGATCTCAGGTGGAAGCCCTTCTGAGTCAATCAGACATAGGATGTTCTTAGACTGCCATGGCACATCTGCAACTCCAATTACATTGGCTAAGTGACTGGGAGTTTTTCTCCTGTTGCTTAATTATAGCAGATTTGGAGGAAGCTTTCACAGGATTTAAGGGTATGTGGAACTTCCCTGTTGAAGATCAGCTCTCCAATGAAAATCACTTTCCTTTCTCTTAGGTTCAAATAAAAATACTGTACATTCCAATTTGGCAGCAAGCTATGTAGTGAATAGTATCAGCTTGCCTTTAGGTGGGATCACTTTGAAGCACCTTCATTGACATGGAAAGAAGTCAAAATAGAGATTGCAAGACAAATCTTTAAAGAGTTAGAAAGCAAGCAAGAGCTGTTGGGTTTCTATAATAACGCTGTGCCAATGTTCATTATTATCAGCCCTACAACCAGGACCATGCTAGGAAACCAATGGAATACAGGTCAATAATACTTTTATTGTAAAGCTGTAGTATCAGAATCTTGCAAGTCTGAATGTTCCCTTTATGTAGGGGTGAATTAGAGAGGGGCTTGTCTATGATGTTTACTCACATTACTTTCCTGGCCCAGGGCTCACATCCCTTTTATCTCATGGTTGCCTTGGTAGTGATTCTTCTTCATGTCTTTCAAGGCCTTTCCCTTGTCCCTCTATAATGATGTATGGAGTACCTTTACTCAGATCAATTAGAAGGGAAATCAAACAGACCATAGAAATTAACCATGGGTTATACCAATTCTAGGTACACCTGCTGACATCAGGAACAAAGCTTTTTGCAACCACTTCAAGACAAACAATATTGCACAAAACCAAGTTCTTCAGAGATTATATGATTTCAGAAATAATTTCCGATAATGGTGAATTTCAAAACCCCCTCCCCACTATTTTGTTTTTCATAGTTTGATCAGTTAAAAACTACTGACTTTGCTTGGAGGTATGCAACCTTGGGGTCATTTTAGTTGGACTCTTTCCCACAAGTGCAATAAAAATGTCCTTAATGCTACTTAGAAGCTTGTTAAGCAGATTAGAAGAAGGGTTGCAGTAGTTGTATTAAATGATTATCCGATCAATGTCTAATCTCTCTCTCTTTTTTTTAAGAGAAAAAGGTATGTTGGAAAAGCTACTTTGAAATATAAATCCCAAACAGTAGCAATTGTTAACCGTCAGGTATTGATGTATACGGCTGGATTGTTAGCTAATTAAAATTCTTCCACAGAAAAGTCATTTCACCCTTGCCTTGACCTACCTCATATGACTGCAGAAACTGCATAGGATTAGTATAGCCGTATGGAATGTATGAAGTGCTTATTTATCACCTCTTCTCACTTAGCTTGAGTGAGCAAATGGTACAACAGGAGCTGTTAGAGTCTTAACATTTCAACCGTGTAGTCTTCAATTATAATGGCCATCAGGAAAATAGGCCCCCTTAAAAAGAGACAGGGTAGTTCTCCACTCAATGCTCAAATCTAGGTTGGCATTTCCTGCTCACATGTAATGGAAGGCATTAGCGGCCTTGAGGAAAGAAAAGGACAGATGCTTCCTGGGAAACAGTCAAACAAGATAGGTAGGTAGCCCACAATTGTTTAACAGTCATAGAAAGAGGCTGAGAAAGGGCCCAGCCTTTCTCATCAAGCATTTAAAAGTGGTGGTGGGAAGTTTTGCACTTCCAGTTTTGCAAGATTCTGTTAATGTAGCCTTACAATAATTTAGATTTAGCTCAAACATTTCTTTTCTGGATTACCTGGGAGAGCTGACATCACCTTACCTCAATTTACTTTCAGTTAATAATAGCCACTTTATTGGGTCAATTTTATTGATGGATCACCTTTTGCTTCAGGGAAAAGGGCTGCTTTAAAGGACTTGAGGAAGCAAGTAAAGAAGTAAATCGTCTTGTCACATCTTAGGATCTTTCCCCATTTGCACCTAGCCAGATCAGAACATACCCTGAAGACATTTTATACTTCCACATCCTACAACACTGCATTTTTCTTATTCTCAATCATAGGCAAGACAAGACTGAAATTGCTCCTTAGCTCTACTACTGCGTGACTTTGTCTTGTTTTATTCTGAAGGTAACAGCCGGGTCTGTAGGGTGTTTTAAAAATGTCACAATTTTGGCTACAACCATGCGATCAACAACTGGACCTTTTTTGTGCACATCATCATGCATGTAGAAAAGGATGCTGATCACCTGGGTGTGGCCATCATCTTCACTTTTTTTACTCCCCTGTAAAAATCTCTTAAGAGGAAGGATGGAAATTAGGAATGGGGAAAGATATTTCAAGCCAGTATCATTTTCTGATATTTCAAGGGTGGATTTTATTAAAAAAAAAAAGTTGTAATTTTTAAAAGTAATAATCTCAAAATTAGGATAGTACAAATACCAAAGAATAGCAATAAATAATAATAAAAAAATTAGTTATGAACAGTAAGCCAATAATTTCGATTTGCGTTTCACACATTAGATGGCGCTATTTATCCATTTCTGCTAAACCAGGAAAAAAAGGAGGAATGGGCACACATTGCCAAGCTTAATTATTTTCAGGAAATCACGTTTGCAAGATGATGTAATTTATGTTTTCCTAATACTTTAATAACATGAACACTCTATAGCAAAAGCAGCTGTCAAAATTTTGAAATGGAAATAAAAGTATAAATCAAAAAGCCATGTCTAATTATCTTTCCTACGAACCCAAGTTATTGGTCAAGGTCAACAGCTCATGGCTTTAAGGGGGAACGGAGACAAATTTATGGAGCAGAAAACTATGGCTTTTTAAAAAAACCATAGTTGTAATTATTAGTTCTTCTTACATTCTTAAATACTTTTTATATTATGTTAACTACAAGAAAATATGGCCACACAAATATGAAAAATGAAGGGCTGTTATTTGATAGCACTTAAAAGGTATATATGTATGCTTTCTTTTTGTTCAGTTAAATACAATAAAAATATTATTGAATGATCCATAATATTTTATTTATTTATTTATTTAATTTCTATACCGCCCTTCTCCTGAAGGACGCAGGGCGGTGAACAGAATAAGATTTCATATACATATAATAACTTTTTTTTTTATAAACAGTAAATAATAAATTGAGTCAACTTAGTGTATCTGCTAAGACCTTGGCATAGAATTTAGATGTTTATGCTAGCCCTGCTTATTGAAACAGAAAGGTCTTCACGGCATGTCGGAAAGTGCGAAGATCTGGGATTATTCGTATTCCAGGGGGTATTTTGTTCCAAAGAGTAGGTGCCCCCACAGAGAAGGCTCTCTCCCTTGGAACTACTAGACGACATTGTTTTAATGATGGTACTATGAGTAGGCCTACTCTGTGAGAGCGTATTGGTTGGTGGGAGGTTATCAGTTGCAGCAGGTGGTCTCGTAAGTACTCAGGTCCTAAGCCATGGAGCACTTTAAAGGTAAGAACCAACACCTTGAAGCGCACAATATTAAGAAAGCAGAAGTTTGAATTTTAGCCTACTTCTTCAGGTACGGAGAACATTATCTTGAAAGAACAATCCATACATAGTTGTAATTTTTTGAAATAGAGATGTACATATGTGAGTAGCATGTAAATATGAATAGCAAATAGAAAAATTATTGGAAAATGAAGTGAAGGATACAGGAGCAGTGATCATTAGTTATATAGTTGCCATTAATCAGACAACTGTGGCTGTAACTCAGACACTGGAAACAAATTAACACATGTAGTGCAGGGGTGGGTTCTAAAACTTTTTACTACCGGTTCTGTGGGTGTGGCTTATTTTGTGGATGTGGCTTGATGCTCATGTGACAATTATTTAGGATTTAGCAGAGGTACTGGTCTACCAGGCTTTTAACTGCTTGCAGAGCTGTACGGATCTACCCATTTATTTTTTGCAGGCACTGGTCTACCCATTTATTTTTGCAGGCACTGATCTACTCATGTATTTTTGCAGGCAATGGTCTACCCATTTGTTTTCTTTTAACACTGATCAGCTGTAGGGCGGCCCTTTGAAGCCCAGCAGCAAGAGTTTAAACAGGTTTTTTCCC